AAACTTTGCGGCTTGGGCACATCTCTTAGCTAAATATTGTCAATGGGGGAAGGGAATGAGAAACCTATTAAGGCATAATGAGGCTGCTCATTATGCAGTGTTTTGTTTTGCATTTACTACGTCTCAGACCCTGTATTATCGCAGTCCCTGCAAAGAGAAATGCTTTCTCAGCAGACCAACGGCATAGACTGCTTATGGAAATACCAAACGTGCACAGAAATGGGGGTGGAGGGAGGGAAACTTCTCACTGCAAGCTGAGCTTCCTTTTCCTTTCTGCTGACACCACGCTGGCAGAGGGGCCTTCCTAAGAGGAAGGGAGAGCTGAAAGCAGGAACAGATTAAGCCTGAATTTGATGCAGCTCTACCACAAACTCAAGACAGCAAATCACTGCGTCCTTTTCCTCTGGATTTGGTGCAGTCCATGTCAATAACACCAAGGCTGTGTCTAGACTGGCAAGTTTTTCCACAAAAGCAGCTGCTTTTGCGAAAAAACTTGCCAGCTGTCTACACTGGCAGCTTGAATTTCCGCAAGAACACTGACGATCTCATGTAAGATTGTCAGTGTTCTTGTCTCATGTCAACAAATCAGCACATCTGACCATCACTTAGCCCATGCATGTGGCAAGTATAGTAAGTTTATAGTTTAAGGCCAGAAGGCACAAGTGTGATAATTGTATTTGCGTAACACAGGCCCCAGAGTCTCAGCCAGTAATTCCTGCATGAAGCCCATCATTTCTGTTTGAGCTTTAACCTGTCTTTTAGAAAGTACCCAGTGTTGATTTGAGGATCCAAGGGCTTGAGAATCCAGCACACCCTTTGGGGAATTGTTCTAATAGTTTAATTACTCTCACAGTGAGATGTTTGTACCATATTTCTACTCTGAATTTCTCTCATTTTAGCTTCCACCCACAGGATTTCATTATACCTTTTCCACTAGAGTATTCTGATACCAGATTTCGGCTCCCATTTAGGTCCTTCTAGACCACAACCAAGTCACTTTTTAAGCTTTTCTTGGATAAACTAAATACATTGAGCCCTGTTAATCTGTCGCTGTAAAACAAGTTTCCCAGACCTCAAGTTATTTCATGTAGCATTTATATAGTAGCATGATAATATTTTCTGTCCCTTTCCTTGTGGTTCCTTACATAGTCACTGCTGCACATTGAGCTGATGTTTTCAGAAAACCATCCAGCATGATTCTTTTAGTCCACATGATTTTCTATGTATTGGTGCAATTGTGTGTTCCAATGCGTATTACTTAGCACTTATCAACATTGAATTGTATCTGCAGTTTCATTGCCTGGTCACTCAATTTAGTGAGCACCTGTTGTAACTCTTTGAAGTCAGCTTTGTGGGGATAGCCCACAAAATCTCATGATTCTACATACTTCTGTTAGTTTCTAAGGTACCAGAGGACTAATCTTTGAGTAGTTTAGTATTATCTGCAAATTTTACATCCTCCCACTTTCCTCCCTTTCCAGATGATTCATGAGTATGTTGACCAGAACCCATACCTGTACAGGTGTTTGGGGGATCCTGTTATTTGCCAATTTCCAGGGTGAAATGTGACCATTTATTCCTATCCTTTTGTTTCCTATCTTTTAATCAGTTACAGAACTCTGAGAGGATCTTCCATCTAATCCCATGCGTTTTTACTTGGTTAAAAATCAAGATGATTTGATAGGGGAGCTGTCAAAGGTTTTCTGGAAGTCAAAGTACGCCACACCCAGGCGATCAACTTTGTCCACGTGGTTGTTGCCACTCTCAAAGCATTCCAGTCGAATAGTTGAAGCCTGATGTCCCTTTATAAAAGCCTTGCTGGCTTTCCCCCAACATGGCATGTGCATGTGTGGGTGTGATCATTCTGCCCTGGACTGTAGTTTCAACCAGTTGCCTGCTCCTGATGGGTGTCTGACCATCTGCAGAGCCCTTGAGGACACAGTCTCCTCCCCCGTCTGTCTGTCCATCCCTGACTGCACCCCTCTGCCTGTGGCTGCAGTCTGCCCCCCGCCCGGCTTCCGAATAGCGCCCGGGGGCTGTTTCCGCTGCCCGGAGTCACGTGCGGGGGAGGTTAAAGCTCGCAGCGGGGCTCGCCCGGGATGGAGCTGGCGGAGCGCAGGACCCAGCCCTGAGCAGAGCCCGGACCGGCCATGGCCGCCGCCGCCGCCCG